ACCAATTAAGCCGATCACCCCTTTGCTAAACCCAACCGATAGTGTTTTCGAAAGCACAGATTGACCCGATCTCGCCTTCCCTAAACCCAACCGATAGTGTTTTCGAAAGCACAGATTGACCCGATCTCGCCTTCCCTAAACCCAACCGATATTGTTTTTGAAAGCACGGATTGAGCCGATCACCCCTTCACTGAATCCAACAATAATGTCTTCGAAAGCACTGATTAAACTGATCACGCCTTTCCCTAAACCCAACCGATAGTGTTTTCGAAAGCACGGATTGAGCTGATCACCCCTTCGCTGAATCCAACCGATAGTGTTTTCGAAAGCACAGATTGACCCAATTACCCCCTTCCCTAAACCCAACAATAATGTCTTCGAAAGCACTGATTAAACTGATCACGCCTTTCCCTAAATCCAACCGTCAAGTGTTTTCGAAGGCACCGATTGAGCCTATCACCCCTTCACCGAATCCAACCAATAGTGTTTTCGAATTTTACCAATTGAGCCGATCACCCCCTTTACTCAACCCCACTGATAATGTTTTCGAAAGCACAGATTGACCCGATCTCGCCTTCCCTAAACCCAACCGATAGTGTTTTCGAAAGCACGGATTGAGCCGATCACCCCTTCACTGAATCCAACCGATAGTGTTTTCGAAAGCACCGATTGACCTGATCACCCCCTTCTCTAAACCCAACCGATAGTGTTTTCGAAAGCACAGATTGACCCGATCACCCCTTTCTCAAACCCAACCGATAGTGTTTTCGATAGCACTGATTGACCTGCTCACTCCCTTCCCTAAATCCAACCGATAGTGTTTTCGAAAGCACAGATTGACCCAATCACCCCCTTCCCTAAACCCAACTATAGTGTTTTCAAAAGCACCGATTGAGCCGATCACCCCTTCCCTAAACCCAACCGTCAGTGTTTTCGAAGGCACCGGTTGACCCGATCACCCCCTTTTCTAAACCCAACCGATAATGTTTTCGAAAGCACCGATTGAGGCGATCACCCTCTTTCCTAAACCCAACCGATAGTGTTTTCAAAAGCACCAATTGACCTGATCACCCCTTCCCTAAACCCAACCGATAGTGTTTTTGAAAGCAACGATTGACCCGACCACCCTCTTTCCTAAACAAAACCGACAGAGTTTTCGAAGCACAGATTGAGCCGATCAACCCCTTCCCTAAACCCAACTGACAGTGTTTTTTTTAAAGCAATCCAGAAAAAAAAAAAGCCCTTGCCTGTTTTTTCCACGTTTTCAGATCTTACCACGTTCATGTCCTGTTATTTACTTATTTATTTTAGTTTTTGCCTTTAGTTTTTGTTTTACCTGCTTTCGTCACGGTCAACTCCTCTCTGCGTCTTAAGTCCCCCGACATACATGGTGAGCTACTAGGCAAACTGGCAACAGCAGAAAAGTCATCCACGCAGCGGTAAACGGTCAGCTGGTATCACGAAAAAACACAGAAGCAGCCAACACCATCATACCACCCTGTAGTGCTCGTCTTAAAGGTGCCATACGTAGCACTGGCAACACAATTTACGCTCTCCTGAAATGCATACGGGGGTACGCATCCACAATGAGCCTGTGATGAAAAATACCGTTGTCTTTCGGTATTAATGTTAACTCAGGGTGCACTAACTAATGTAAACAAGCATGTATGTTAATACTGCATTCATATATGTTGAAGTACCTTTAAATGCTATGCAAATATTGTTCATAATTAGTTCATGTTAGTAAATACATTAACTAATGAAACCTTATTGTAAAGTTCAACCATAATAATAAGCAGAATTAAACTGACAACTGAAGCCTTAATGTAAATCGTTAACATAACAATAATAACGATAATAGAAAACAAAATAAATAACTTGATCGTCAGTATTCTTACGCATTCTATGTTTTTGAAATACATCGTTCTGTCACAGTATAAACATTCGGCATTCGCACGTCGCTTTATGAACGACGGTGACAGATAATTGGATGTATTCAGAAAGCCATGCCCAAAAGATGCGACCAGGAATCAGGGAACAGGCGTCATGTGATCAAGACCCAGAATGCATTGGGGCCTGAGGTCACATAAGGAGCAGGATTACACAACAGCCAAATCCACAAACCGTGCGAAACAACTGGATGTCCAGATCCAAACATTCTCCACTTCATGTTCGGCACTTGCAACACATGCAGAGAGTTAGGTCAACGTCAGTCTTACTTCCTCCTTTTTGCAAAAGTTTGTTTGTAAGTTCATCAAGATGCACTTTTTTTCGTAAGCCTGAGAACGAAAGATTCAGTCTTGTGTTGAAAGTTGAGTTTTCCCCAACGCAATAATGAGAATATAGAACGAAAAGTCAAACCGAGAGAGCAAATCTTACATTCTTCATCGTAAACCTTGTAAGTTCATCCAGATTTTTTTTCATAATTCTGAGAACAAAAGATTGGCTTTTGTTTGAAGTCTGTTTCCGACTTAACACCACTTTGTAGTTTGTTTTTAGTTCGTCAAGATCCATTTTTTTTTTTCGTAAGCCTGAGAACAAAGATTTGGTCATGGGTTGAAAGTTGAGTTTTCCCAACACAATAATTAAAATACTAAACAAAAAGTCAAACAGTTAGAGCAAATATTACATTCCTCTTAGTAAACCTTACAAGTTCGTCCAATGTTTTTGGTAATTCCGAGAACAAAAGATCTGCTTGTGTTCAAAGTCTATTTCCCTTAACATAAAACAAATTATGAAGCCTCACATTGGAGTTTAGTTCGTCTTTTTCGTAAGCCCAGAAACAAAAGATTCATTCTTGTGTTGAAAGTTGAGTTTTCCCAACGCAATAATGAAAATACAGAACGAAAAGTCAAACCAAGAGAGCAAATATTACATTCCTCATTGTAAATCTTGTAAATTGGTCTAGATTTTTTTGCAAATCTTTTGTTCTTGAAATTACTTTTGTTCGAAATCTGTTTTCAACTTAGCACCATCGTGAAACTTTGTAGTTTGTTTTTAGTTCGTTAAGATCCACTTTTTTTTTCATAAGCCTGAGAACAAAGATTCGGTCTTGTGTCGAAAGTCGAGTTTTCCCAACTCAATAATGAAGTGTCAAACTGTGAGCAAATATTACATTAATCATTTTAAACCTTATAAGTTTGTCTAATTTAAATTTTTTTCATAATTTCAAGAACAAAACATCCGCTTCTGTTTAAAGTCTAATTCCCTTGACATAATTAAAATCATGAAGTTTCACAATGGAGTTTAGTTCGTCATTTTTCGTAAGCCCAGAAACGAAAGATTCAGTCTTGTGTTGAAAGTTGAGTTTTCCCAACGCAATAATGAAAATAGAGAACAAAAAGTCAAACCATGAGAGCAAATATTACATTCTTCGTTGTAAACCTTGTAAGCTCCTCAGGATTTTTTTTTTCGCAATTCTGAGGACAAAAGATTTGCTTTTTCTCGAAGTCTGTTTCCGACTTCACACCATCGTGAAACTTTGTAGTTTGTTTTTAGTTCATGAAGATCCACTTTTTTCCTTAGCCTGAGAAAAAGATTCGGTCTTGTGTCGAAAGATGAGTTTTCCCAACTTAATAATTAAGCATCAAACTGTGAGAGCAAATACTACATTCCTCATCGTAAAACTTGCAAGTTTGTCCAATTTTTTTCGTAATTACGATAATAAAGAATTTGCTTGAGTTCAAAGTCTAATTCCCTTGACATGAAACAAATAATAAAGTTTCACAATGGAGTTTAGTTCGTCATTTTTCATAAGCCCAGAAACGAAAGATTCAGTCTTGTGTTGAAAGTTGAGTTTTTTAAACGCAATAATGAAAATATAGAAAAAACAGTTAAACCGTGAGGGCAAATATTACATTCTTCATTGTAAACCTTGTAAATTGGTCCAGATTTAGTTTTGCAAATCTTTTGTTCTTGAAATTACTTTTGTTCGAAGTCTGTTTCCAACTTAACACCATCGTGAAACTTTGTAGTTTGTTTTTAGTTCGTCAAGATCCACTTTTTGTGTCGAAAGTCAAGTTTTCCCAACTCAATAATGAAGTGTTAAACTGTGAGTAAATATTACATTCCTCATTTTAAACATTATAAGTTCGTCCAATTTTTTTTCCATAATTCCGAGAACAAAAGATCGGATTCTGACTAAAGTATACTTCCGTTGACATAAAACAAATTATAAAGTTTCACAATGGGATTTAGTTCGTCTTTTTTACGCAAGTACAAGAACAAAAGATTCAGTCTTGAGTTGAACGAACAAAATGTCACAATGTTTTTCGTAATTCTGAGAACAAAAGATTTGCTTGTGTTCAAAGTCTGTTTCCCATAGACACAACACCATTGTGAAACTTTATATATAGTTCGTCAAGATTCACTTTTTTCATAAGCCTGAAAATGAAAGATTCAGTCTTGTGTTGAAAGTCGAGTTTTCCCCTACTCAATAACGAAAAGTCAAACTGTGGGAGCAAATATTACATTCCTCACTGTAAACCTTGTAATTTTGTGCAAATTTGTTTGGTGAAATCCCAAGAACAAAAGTCTAATTCCCATGCCCAAAAATTATGAAGTTTCACAATAGTGTTTAGTTCGTCAAGATGCAGTTTTTCGTAAGCCTAAAAACAAAAGATTCAGTCGTGTTGAAAGTTCGGTTTTCCCAACGCAATAATAAAAATACGAAACAAAAAGTCAAACCATGAGAGCAAATATTACATTCCTCCTTGTAAACCTTACAAGCTCGTCCAAAATTGTTTTCGTAATTCCGAGAACAAATGATTTGCTTGTGTTCAGTCTAATTCCCTTGACCTAAAATAAATGATCGAGTTTCACAGTGGAGTTTAGTTCATCATTTTAAGCCTGAGAACGAAAGATTCAGTGGTGTTGAAAGTTGAGTTTTTCCAACGCAATAAAGAAAATACAGAACGAAAAGTCAAACCGTGAGATCAAATATTTGATTTGCTTGTGTTCAAAGACTAATTCCGATAGACACAACACCACCCGAGCAAAAGTTGGGACTGGACTAAAATGCCTTTTTATTTGCAAAATTTAGTAAGGTAATTTTTCCATGTGCCAAATTTTAATTTAAAGATTGACTTTTGCAATTGAACACTGTTTTTCCACCTTTATATATAAAAAGACCAAGTCTTACATTCTTCCATCGTAAAACATTCTACAATTTGGTTTTCAGTTCGTCAAGTTTGTTTAAGTTTATCAAGATGCATTTTTAATTAGCCTGAGAATGAAAGATTCGCTCTCGCGTTCAGAGTCAGCATTTTCCACCTCAATAACAAAATTACACAATTAAAGGTCAAACCAGCAAACGCAAGTCTTACATTCCTCCGATTTTAAGATCAAGATGCATTTTTTCGTTTAGCCTGAGAACGAAATTTTCAGTCTGGCATTCAGAGTGAGCATTTTCCCACCTCAAATACAGGTCAAACCTTGAGAGCGAAAGTTGCACTCGGAGCAAAATGCAAATCAGTGGGCGGAGTCCAAAATTAAACATGCACGTGATGTCAAACGAAGATGCGTCACTGCTCCTCCCGCTCTTCCTCATCCACGTCTTCCTCGTCGAGTGAAACGACACCAGATGAAGCGACGTCCGACACTTTCCTTCGCGGCGAATATTCTGGCGGGAGACAAACTCCGCCCCCACAGTCCTTATAAGGCGAGTCCTCATCTTCGAATGTCTCGGAATACGTTTCCAAGCAACAAGGGGAGTGGCCCCGCCTAAGCCCCGCCCTGTGTAGGCGTGCTAACAGTTGCTCCTCCCCTCCATGCAGAGCACTGAGGATTTTAGCGGTGAGATCTGCGGCTGGTGAGTCCCCTTGACGCCCGATGTCCCGCAGCAGGGGGTGTCTTTCGTCCAAACTGCACATGCTGGAGCAGAGCGTGTCAGACTGCGACCCCGGCGACCCCACAGGAGGTGAAAGGTCGGCGCCGACGCCGCTTTCTACCTCACACACACCTGGAGCCCTTAGGTGAGTCTGGAGGAGATCCCGCAGGTAATGAGGATATGAGGACAGGTCTGGGGAGAAACCATACCAGTGTTAGAATTAAACTAACTATATAAAATAATTAGTGCTGGGCAAAAATGTTTTTAAAATGAATGATTAATTACATCACATGCATTGCTCAGGTGTGAGTTTCTCACAGAGTTCAACAGAGTGTCAAAATCTTGATGATTCTGTGGGTCTCGTCTATCAAATCTGAGCTTTATTGTGTAATTTCTATTGGATTCGCATCAGGTGATTGGCTGGGCCAATCTACAGCTTGATTTTCTTTCCCTGAAAGCATCTGAGAGTCTCCATGGCTGTGTTTTGGATCATTGTCCTGCTGGAATGTCCACCCTGTTTTCATCTTCATCCTCCTGCTGATGTAGATGTTGGACTGAAGCAGCTGATCTTCATTTACACTGAGGAAGGGCAGAGGATTGCTGAAGAACTACTGAGAGATTTCAGCTGCTGTCTGGGCTTTCACTGCTGAACTACACCTCCCTTTCTTCATGTGTTCAATACATTTTCCCTGCGTCATTTCATTTTATTACACATAACTTCATTTGTAAACTAATTAGATTCGTTTTCTTTGTATATATAGATTTCTTTGGTTGCTATCAACATCTGGGGAAGATTTCATGTCTGCAGCACCTTCAAAAATCTGTTTTCTAAGAAAAACGATGATGGATTCAGTATTTATTTTTCCTACTGTATATACAATCATTAAGAAAAATTACTAAATAACAATATCAATATTATATATATATTAAATTAATTATACGTACAATAATATTACACAAAAAATTCAAACAAAATAAGCAATAGTCCAAACTTTTAACAGTTTTAAAATCACAGAGTATTTAGAAATGTACAAAAAATTATATTATTTAGAATTATAATAATATAACAATTATATTAGAATGTTAATTTAAATTATACATTGATTTTTAAAAAATATATATTAACATTGACAATTTTTCAGTGTTTTTAATAACAATAATAATTCCCTGCATTTATATAGCGCTTTTCTGGGCACTCAAAGCGCTTTACACATTGGGGGAATCTACTCATTCACCACCAGTGTGCTGCATCCACCTGGATGATGGGACGACAGCCATATTGCAATTATAATATTATAAAATAATTATATTAATAATAATGCATTAATAAGTATCATGTAACATCATTTTGGGAAATATTTCAAATAGAAAAAAAACCATAGGAGCTAATCATTTTAACTTCAACTGTATTTGCATATGTCGGTTCATTCTGCTGTGGCGACCCCAGATAAATAAAGGGACTAAGCCAAAAAGAAAATGAATGAATTAATGAGTGAATATATGTATATGGGTTATAGTTATGGTGTTATAATGTTTATTTATTTTTATTATAATGTTTGTGTAAATCATATGTTTGTATTATAATGAGTAATTATAGTTATAATTGTTAACAGTATTTTAAAAAATCTTGTCACAACTTCTGTTAAAAGTTAATATGCAAATAATTGGATTAATCTATTGTTACATTCATTTATTCATTCATTCATTTTCCGGCTTAGTCCCTTCATTCGTCAGGGGTCGCCACAGCGGAATGAACTGCCAACTTATCCAGCATATGTTATACCCAGCGGATGCCCTTCCAGCTGCAACCCAGTACTGGGAAACACCCATACACAATCATTCACACACACTACGGCCAATTTAGTTCATCAATTCCCCTATAGCGCATGTGTTTGGACTGTGGAGGGAACACAGAGTACCCTGAGGAAACCCACACCAACACAGGGAGAACATGCAAACTCCACATAGAAACACCAACTGACCCATCCGGGTCTCGAACCAGCGACCTTCTTGCTGTGAGGAGATTGTGCTAACCACTGAGCCATATCGTTACATTCGGTAATTAATTAAATTCAGACTGTCTGTTGCTATGCAGAAGGGCATTTGTCTCTCAGTAGTTCATTGTCAGTGTAAGTGTGTAGTAAAGAGTGTAGTTAAACACAACACGGTGTAAAGCTGCACACTTTATCTGTACACACAGCACTTCTCTCTCTCTCTTTCTCTCTGTCTCTTTTCCCTCTCCCTCTATCTGCAGAACACATTAAACTTGCAGGAGAAATGAACGCTCGGAGATCAAATAGCGGCAGAAAGCAAAACGAGAGAGAGGGAGAGAGAGAGAGAGATGTTTTCTGAAGGAAAGTAGGGCACTAGGACAATAATGTCTGCATTTACTCTGACAATGAGAGAAAAAGACACAAAGGGACTCCAGACAGAAAGAATATACAGAGATGCTGCAATTAAACATCTGTGGACTCAAACATGAGGAACAGAAATGCACCGGCTGCCGATATTGATAGATAGTCAAGCTGATGTGGGATTCATTTAGAGCAGTGGATCACCAAACTTATTCCTGGAGGGCGGTGTCCAGCAGATTTTTTTTCCAACCCTAATCAAACACTCCTGAACAAGCTAATCAAGGTCTTACTTGGTATACTTGAAACATTCAGGCAGGTGTGTTGAGGCAAGTTGGAACTAAACCCTGCAGGGACACCAGCCCTCCAGGACCGAGATTGGTGAGCCCTGATTTAGAGTAAAGCACATACAGATGGTAAATACACACATGACACGGTGGCAGTGAGTTGCATTTCTTTTAAATGACTTCCAAAGCAAAATATAATCTGTAGAAAACGTCAGACGTGGCCTCAGCAAGAAGGTTGCTGGTTCAAGTCCCAGCTGGGTCAGTCATCATTTCTGTGTGGAGTTCTCCTGGTGTTGGTGTGGGTTTCCTCCGGGTGCTCTGGTTTCCCCCACAGTCCAAACACATGCGCTGTAGGGGAATTGATGAACTAAATTGGCCGTAGTGTATGAGTGTGTGTGTGTGAATGAGTGTGTATGGGTGTTTCCTAGTACTAGGTTGCAGCTGGAAGGGCGTAAGTTGTGTTAAACATATGCTGGAATAATTGCCGGTTCATTACGCTGTTGTGACCATTGATAAATAAGGGACTATGCCGAAGAAAAAAAAATGAATGAATAAATACTAAATTTACTGACCCAGCAACCTTATGGCTGTGAGGCCACAGTGCTAACCACTGAGCCACCATGCCGCCCATTATCTCAACTCATCAGTTAAAATTTGCATAGCTGAAACAATTTAGATGAAACCATGATAATTCAACTTTAAAAAATAAGTTAACGAGCCCCTATTATGGGATTTTGAGAATGAGCTTCCATGTAGTGTGTAACAGCTCTAATGGCTCTTTTTGACTGACAGGTACACTACGGTAGGGTTCGGGTCGGTACAGGTCATATCTATCAGGCTTGGGTTTTCATTGCAAGTGTACCCTTTTAGTGGGCGTGATGTATGAAAAAAAATTTAGGCCGCATCGTTCTCGCTCGAGAAATTTTCTACAATTAAGCTGTACGGGTCGCTCACATATTGACCTGATTCTCCGCAGACGAGCGGGCGCTGCCATTTGAATCTTTTTGGCTCGAGACTTCCGGTCTCATTTATTTCCATTCATTTTTAGACGTTAAAAACTGCTCGGTACGCTGCTTGATGTTGCAATTTGATATTTTCCTATTATATTATTCTATATTATTATTATTCTATATTATTATTATATTTCTGCCGTTTATTATTCCTTGTCATTTCTCCCACAGGCGACTAAAGCGGAAGTTCTAAGACAATCAGACGCGAAAACAGGCGCACTTCTGCATTTTAGAATAAGGTCAATATAAGAAGCACTTCTCACAAAACAGATGCCTACTGTAACGTCTGTAATTATGTTAAATAAATAAATAAATGAACGCATATGAACACATATGGCCCGTTTCCACTGAGTGGTACGGTACGGTTCGGTGTGGTACGCTTTTATGGCCGTTTCCACTGTCAAAAGGCGTACCGAACCAAACCGTACCGTACCACTTTTTCAGCACCCTTTCGAAAGGGTCCCAAACCCAAGAAAGGGTACCAAAAGACGCGCAGCTGAATGCTATTGGTTTACAGAGATGCATCATTCGCTTGCGCAACAAGCCAGAATGTAAACGAAGAACCCGCCATGTTTGAAATACACAGCGAGTGCAAGTAATCTCTCGCTGTGTGTCTATATCTGAAATAACTAACTTCTTGAGCTGATGATAATAGTGTGCGCTTGATTATTGACAAGCTTTGGAAACCCGATCCTGTGAGAAGCTGACAAACGCGAGTGACATTCAGAAAGAAAAGGACAAACACGAGAGTGGAGCGTGGAAAAAAATGGAAAGCTAAGGAGCTCGTTATTTCTTCAGCAAACGAGAACAAACTGCCTTGTTTTCATTTTTATCATCACCTTTTAGACTAATATGAACTCAGAATGATGGAGTGACTCTAACAGAGGCTACACGTGCTGCTGAACATTACAGACACAGATGAGGGGTTTTCACTGACTGTGGGTTATATTTTGTGTTGTTTTGAACCTTATTAAGGATGAAATGTCTGCTTTGTGTAGTTTTTCTGTAGTTGGTAACATATCGGAGACCGTAAGGGTCTGTATGTGTTCATATATGTTCATTTATTTATTTATTTGGTCCCACTTTATATTAAGTGTCCTTAACTACTATGTACTTACATCAAAAAATAAATACAATGTACTTACTGTGTTTATACTGTATTTGAGAACACTTGTGGTGCTTTTGAGTTGGGATAGAGGTTGGGTTATGGACAGGTTTGGTGGCATGGGTAGGTTTAAGGGTGGGTTAAGGTGATGGTCAACAGTGTATTTACAAATGTAATTACAAAAGTTAATTACAGATGTAATTACATGCATGTATTTAATCAAACATAAGTACACAGTAAATACATGTATATGCACAATAAGTACATTGTAACAAACTATTAATTCCTATGTAAGTACATATTAGTTAAGGCCACTTAATATAAAGTGGGACCATTTATTTAATATAATTACAGACGTTACAGTAGGACATTTTGTACTGTCATTGATCTGCAGTTATAATCAACTCATGTTCATAGAAAAGTCAGTAATAAACATTAATACAGAAGTATTTATGTGTGTAAAGCGTCTGTTTTGTGAGAAGTGCTGCTCATATGATATGTGAGCGCCCTGTGCAGCTTTATTGTAGACATTTTCTCGAGCGAAAATTACGTTAAACTGTAGGACCAAATTTAACCAAAAGGGTTTGTCCGTGTTTTACCCTATCTGCGTGTAAATAACCCAGCATTTGTTAGAGTGTGTGTTTTATGAATGTGTGCGTGTGCGTGTGTGTGTGTGTGTGTGTGTGTGTACCTGTGCTCTGTGTAACGGGCTCGTTTGCAGGTAGGAAATCTTCATCATAGGAGTCGTCATTAGATTCGTCTCCGTCCACTGAAGACCAGGCTCGAAGTTTAGCCTCCGCGATAGCAAACTGCTCCGCCACGCCTGGTAAAAACGCAAAAACAACAAAACTTCAGAGCAATTCCATGCAAACGTCAGCCATGAAAAAAATGTAAATCTAAAATAGTGAAACCCTTTCTAAGTTTGTGTAGGCTTGCATTTTACACCCAGGCCCGGATTGGCTAATCGCGAGGACCGGGAAAATTCCCGGTATGCCGGTCCAATTTTTGGCAGCGAGGGCCGGTGTCTCTAGCTGCACACTCAGCAGTCACACTTTTTACATTTCTTTATTTATTTGTCCATAGCCTCACTCTTTTTATTCATTATTTTGCCGCAGCTCCACTCTTTTTATTTATTTTCTCGCAGCCTGCAGCCTGCAGGCTAATGATGATGTAATGATCATTCCACCCCAAACAGCGGCATCCTTAGTTAATATAAGAATTTGAATAATTAATATTAATGAATATTACACCTGCTCAATGAAAATCAGATGATTCACTACATTATCCAGTTAAACTCTGCTGTTATTTTGGGATTTCCGCCTGGATTTTGCCTACCCAAATTTAAAAGCTTCCCAAATCCACATGCAGAGGTGTAAATGCAAAGATTTGGTATCATTTTTACAGAAAACCATTTGAATTTTCATAAAACACTATTGAAAGTGTTTAAAATATCTGTATATGTTGTCTGTGTTATAATAAACACCTAAGAAAGAGGCACTTTTTGTATTTTTCTTTTATAAACTCAAATTTGAGAGTGCACCTTTTAGGCTGTGTGTGGTCTAGCGTGCTGTAATTAATGTTGGTGGTTCCTGCACATGTCTGTAATCATAGGTAAAAATAAAAATGTCTCCACCATAATCTATGCAAAAGTTATTGTATTCCAGCTGATGAGAGGTGCTGTACAAGCCACAGGGATCATCATTGCTTTCATATTTCACTATTCTTTTGTTTGATCAAAAATAATTCACTGTGTTTGGACCAGGTCAGACATATAACAGGATTACTTATGCACATCACCTCAAAAACAGAGGAGAATGACCCTGAAGCGCACAGCATAAGGTAAGAGTTGACAGCTGTCTGTGCTATCTGGGGCTGCTTATTGATCATAAATGTATTGTTTACATTTCTGCGCCATGGAAA